ATATATATATATATATATATATATATATATATATATATATATATATATATATATATATATATATTTATATATATTATATATATTATATATATTATATATAGTCTCTCTCGCAGGACCAGCACCCCAACCACCGCCTTCTGAAGCCCATAAGCAATCCAGCTAGGATCGCCCCATTGCCGACCAAGAAGCTGCAACTTTGCTAGAAGCTGTGACAACACCACATGACACTGCCCGACTTAGAGCTGTAGCAGCTCCGCATGCAGGTGATTTCCTATTAGCAACCCCAATGTCAGCAACCGGCACCCGTCTCACACCGCAGGCCCTCCGAATTGCCGTGGCTCTCCGCCTACCTGCCCCAATCCACACCGAATACAGGTGTATTTGCGGCGAGGCAGAGGCCGACAGATATGGACGGCATGGCCTTCTTTGCCAAAGGACGGGAGGATGGCATGCAAGACACGGCGAGGTTAATGACATTAAGAGAAGCCTTACCACAGCCGGTTGTCCAGCAGAGAGAGAGCCCCGTTACCTAATGTCCCGCAACTCTGATGAGCCTGTCGGTCGCCCAGACGGAATCACGGTGAACCCCTGGAAGAATGGTAGACAGTTGGTGTGGGACTACACTTGCGTTTCAACTTTAGCCAATACCTATGTTGACTTCAGTGCTACACAAGCAGGAGGAGCTGCCAATCACCGGGAAGCGGCCAAGTCACGTAAATACAGAGACCTTGAGCACCACTACAATTTTGTCCCCATTGCCTCAGAGACACTTGGTGTCTGGGGTAAAAGTGCTGCTAGCTTTTTGAAGGAGTTGGGGTCTAAGCTAATCGAAACAACTAGAGACCCTAGAGCTGCCAGTTTTCTTTTTCAGCGCCTTAGTGTGGCCATCCAGAGAGGAAATGCTCACTGCATCCACGGTTCCTGCCCACCATCTGAGGAGCTGGAAGAGCTGTTCAATTTGTGACAAGCAGCCTTGTACCCTGCATGTAATCAATATTGTAACTTTTTTTTGTGTAATGACATTTTCAAATAAAGTTAGATAAATATACACACATACCAAAAGAATAGGGGTGGTAGGAGAAGAAAATATCAAAGTGTTCAGTGAGGATCCACAAGGTCTTCTCTGAGTACTCTTTATTTTCTTCTCCGAGGCTATGGGTCCCTACACTTGCACCAGAGGTGGTACCCCTTCTAGGTATAATATATATATATATATATATATATATATATATATATATATATATATATATATATATATATATAATATATATATATTTTTTTTCTTAGAGACAAATAGTTGGCCGTTTGTGTGTGTGTGGCGTTCTCATCCCAGCTGTCTCAGAGGCATTACTCTCTCCCGGAAGGTGTGCTCCGTTCATGTCCAAGAACCAAGTCCCCCCAGGCCTACACACACACACACACACACACACACACACACACACACACACACACACACACACACACACACACACACACACTCAGAGATCCTCGCGGCAGCGCTGACCTCGTTCGGAATTCGCAATCCACGGTGGGATGCATTTTGTGGATGTATGTGAGAGAGAAATATATGTAGTAGATATGATAGGCAAAAAAATATAGATCGGCAGTTAGTATATAGGACAAGCAACGGGTAGAAAGGCAGAGCCCCAGAGCTAGCGGCTCGATCCTGCAGCCACAAATAGTGAACATGAATAGTAAATAAACGCACACTCGCACTCACTCACACGAGACTCCAGTTAGTGGATCAATATGAGAAGTAGGCAGAAGGTGCTTTAGAAGATGCTCTAGTTTATTAGGGAGTACCTAAGCAACAGAAGACAGGGAGTCACTGTGAGATGCCACGAATGAAGTCTCAGAGTAGGCAGCACCATCACCCATGCTCATCCTGATACATATGACCCAATAACAGACTCGTAAGAAGGTAACAAAACTAGACACAGTCAACAAGTGACCGAACAAAAGGTACCCAAATGGGAGATTAAATCCTCCAAGAATCCGTCATTTGTTTTGCTTCAATTGCGAATAGACCTTATTTAAATTCAAAGTTGTATTATTCTCTCTTTCCGGCATTCACCTCATTGGGTTTATTGTTAAAATTCTGACACTTAACACCCCAGGTTCATTATTTATGCAATTTTAATTCGTGAAAGTTAATGTAAACATGTGCATTTCACTCCAGTGTGTTGATATCTTTCATTCCAACGACGGAAAATAAGTTAATATTGCATAAATGGATCTTGCTGTTATTATTGAACGTCTCTCCTAAGTAAGGTCTTCGATAGTGGTTTTATATTGTGTTCTTGCCTGTTGTTTTCTGCCCTTGTCTCTCTCTCTGCCCTTAGCTCTCTCTGCCCTTGTCTCTCTCTCTGCCCTTGTCTCTCTCTCTCTGCCCTTGTCTCTCTCTCTGCCCTTGGCTCTCTCTCTCTGCCCTTGGCTCTCTCTCTCTGCCCTTGGCTCTCTCTCTCTGCCCTTGGCTCTCTCTCTCTGCCCTTGGCTCTCTCTCTCTGCCCTTGGCTCTCTCTCTCTGCCCTTGGCTCTCTCTCTCTGCCCTTGGCTCTCTCTCTCTGCCCTTGGCTCTCTCTCTGCCCTTGGCTCTCTCTCTCTGCCCTTGGCTCTCTCTCTGCCCTTGGCGCGCTCTCTGCCCTTGGCGCGCGCTCTGCCCTTGGCGCTCTCTCTGCCCTTGGCGCTCTCTCTGCCCTTGGCGCGCTCTCTCTGCCCTTACCTCTCCCCTCGTCCGATGTATCTCTGAGTCTAGGCTTAATGGTCTTACTTTTTCGGAGAAATTCACAAATAAAAGTTCTTTCTTGAACGATTTAGTTTACCTCTAGTTGTTTTTAGACTTACAACTGGAGCATGTTTTTTTTAGTTAGCAACTAGGCCAAGCTTTTAGACTTTCCACCTGAGGCAACCGGCTCCTGTTCTTAGACTTACAGATCGACGAATAACAAACCTTTATTAAATACTTGTTAAAAAAGCACCCACAACAAGCAGAGGAAACAACTGAACATTACCAATGAGATATTCGAGGCTTTCAAACGATAGATACATCTAGCAATATTGTATAACTAATATATCGACATTCTTGGCCATAATACAAGAAGTTTAAACACGTTCTTGGCCATAATACAAGAAGTTTAAACACATTCTTGGCCATAATACAAGAAGTTTAAACACATTCTTGGCCATAACCAACACGTTTAGGTACATTCTTTACTATAACGAAGAGGTTTAAAGAGTTACCTCAATGTCCAGCAATGTTACAGATGTGAAATTTGTTCAGGGGAGCCTTGTTTAAGAAGCGCTACGAACTAAGCCGTTCGATGCAGGATCAGCCCTCAGCTGGGCTTTTGTGAGTGAGTTACAGTAATTAACTGTAAGCAATGCTCACGTCTCATGTTGAAGCAAGTGGAGGCATTAGACTTTGGCCCTGTGAGTCCCTTGATGAGGGGAGAGAGAGAGAGAGAGAGAGAGAGAGAGAGAGAGAGAGAGAGAGAGAGAGAGAGAGAGAGAGAGGCGTGGGCCGGCTGGCACTGCACCCGCCCCACCATTATTAAAGGTGAACTTTGTGTGGTTGATCCCCCAGTCACCTACAACCTCTGGTGGGGGGCGGTGGTCCCCCCCCTTTGGCACCTCCACACACCCCACTTTTTTATATTTTAATGTATTTATCTCTCGATTCTGCATTATTCTCTCTCTCTCTCTCTCTCTGTCTCTCTCTCTCTCTCTCTCTCTCTCTCTCTCTCTCTCTCTCTCTCTCTCTCTCTCTCTCTCTCTCTCTCTCTCTCTCTCTCTCTTTTGCGCTCATTGTTTATCTCTAGGAATCCTCCTCCCTTTAACACTTCTTTCGTACCCTTCCCTTTGACCACTTCTGTCTCTCACTGCTTACTCCTTTCCCTTCCCTCCCTCCCCTCCCACTCTATCCCTTCACTATCCTTTCTCAGCTCTCAGTTTTAAAGCTAATCTCAGAGCCATTATTAACTTACACGTGAATCCTTCTTGCAAAGAGGCGCCCTGTATCAGCCTACCGCTAGAAATAATAAAATAATTTAGCAATTTCTGTATTGATAAATTATTTGATTGTTTTATTTTTTAAATTTAGGTTTAAATCAGTATTGAGTAGCCTCAGTACTGTCTTACAGTATGGGGGCCCCTGGTTAGGTTCCCATCAGGGGCCCCCACTATTTTAGGGGCCCTATGCTGTTATACTGTTCATGAGAGAGCTGTTGGTAGAGTGGATAATTACTCGACTTCCCGCAGGAAAGGCCTGGGGTTCGGTTCCCTTTTCAAATTATTATTTATAATTTAAATAATTTGTGCGTAACTCTCTCTTGATATTCTCCACGTTCAGTGATGCAGTAATCTTTTTGTCAGTTATCTTGTCTCTCTCATATTTTTGTAAGTGCTATCTTATCTCTTTCATTTTTTTAAGTGCTATCTTTTTCATTTTTGTAAGTGCTATCTTGTCTCTCTCTCATTTTTGTAAGTGCTATCTTGTCTCTCTCTCATTTTTGTAAGTGCTATCTCGTCTCTCTCTCATTTTTGTAAGTGCTATCTTGTCTCTCATTTTTGTAAGTGTTATCGTGTCTCTTTCATTTCTGTAAGTGCTATCTTGTCTCTCATTTTTCTGTTATCATGTCTCTTGTTTTCCCTTGAATTTTGTCCTTAACGTCTGACAACTCGACCGTGTATTCAGTTTATTTTTCAAGTGAATGAAGCCTTGTGTGGTGTCTCCCGGCGGCTCTCGCTCAGTGACTGGGGAGTAACTGGAAGAATGGGAGTAGTAACTGGAGTAGTAACTGGAACAAGGAAAGAGCGTGTTGTAGGGCGCCACAGTTTACTGATCTACGTCTGGTAGAAAAGGCACCGAGTCTGGTAGAAAAGGCTCCAGATCTGGTAGAAAAGGCTCCAGGTCTGGTAGAAAAGGCACGGGTCTGGTAGGCCCGGGTCTGGTAGAAAAGGCTCCAGGTCTGGTAGGCACCGGGTCTGGTAAAAGGCTCCAGGTCTGGTAGAAAAGGCTCCAGATCTGGTAGAAAAGGCTCCAGGTCTGGTAGAAAAGGCACCGGGTCTGGTAGAAAAGGCACCGGGTCTGGTAGAAAAGGCTCCAGGTCTGGTAGAAAAGGCTCCAGGTCTGGTAGAAAAGGCTCCAGGTCTGGTAGAAAAGGCTCCAGGTCTGGTAGAAAAGGCTCCAGGTCTGGTAGAAAAGGCTCCAGGTCTGGTAGAAAAGGCTCCAGGTCTGGTAGAAAAGGCACCAGGGTTAGGATTGTAGTTAAAGGTAATATATGACCAAGTAACTTATTTTAAACTGCAGTGTATTAAAACTATTAGTGTTTCCTAACATTTATATTGTGAAGTAAATTATAGTTTGTCAGTAGTGAATAATTAATATACTTTTTTATTTCCTGTCATTTGAATTTTCCACTGTTTCAAGCCTTATTGCAAGCAGTTCCCACTGTTGTAACTATTTTCTACTGTTGCAAGGATTATCTGTTGTTGCAAGCAGTTACCAATGGTGTAAGCATTTTCTGTTGTATCAAACAGTTACCAATGGTGCAAGCATTTTCTGTTGTATCAAACAGTTACCAATGGTGCAAGCATTTTCTGTTGTATCAAACAGTTACCAATGCTGTAAGCATTTTCTGTTGTATCAAACAGTTACCAATGGTGCAAGCATTTTCTGTTGTATCAAACAGTTACCAATGGTGCAAACATTTTCTGTTGTTGCAAGCAAGACTTTTCCACGACCTCGAACTTTGTCCACGGTCGTGAACAGTTGACGAAGCTGGGCAAGTCTTCACGGCAGTCGTTACGTTGACAAAAAGTGATAATTCACCAAGCATGTACTCAACCCCATACGAAACCTGTACATCTTTCTTCAAACATGGCGGCTTTGTTTATATTTATTAAACAGTCTACGAGCGTCGAAAGTACCCAATCCAAGGTTGTTTTTGTTATAAACAACCTCGTAGGGCCTCGAGGCTCATAAACTATTAAATAACTGTAAATAAAGCCTCTGTGATTAACGAGAGATGTACATGTTTCGTAAGGGGTTAGGTAAAATGCTTGGTGAAGCCTGGCCCCTGGCCAGTATCAGCCTTTCCCAACACCTCGAGTATTGTCCCATTGGATACAATATGCAGGAGTGGCGTTGGTTCGACGCTGATAGCGTTAAATCAACGTCACTCTTTGGTATGGTGCCTGCTGTGTATAGCTGTGGCAGATGCTACCCATGACAGCTCTGTCAGTCGAGCGCTGACCGCCGCCTTCACAATGATATTTACTCACCTGTCATCTCAACGAGTCAAATATGCTCCAGTAACGATAATTCGACGTAGTATCAACGTTAAAACGACGGAGGGACGACTTAAATTCCCCGTCGGTTCTATTACGTATACGTATTCACATTCACCTGAGACTCTTCACCCTACACCAACCCCTAAATTATTATCGATTCCAAGTAATGTGTGTAAAATTTTATTTAAAACACCACCCAGCGTATTGGTTGAGGCTCCAAGAGTAGCGTAGAATATATTGGTAATTTTCTCCGTGCAAAAATGCACATGCTTTCTGAATGCCTCATTTATGTTCCTGTGCATCGCTAACAGCTTAAATTGTCGGTATATCTGAAAATGAATAGGGAATGTTTCCCTTTCAGGTGGAAATCTAAGGGTTTTGGAGTAGGTCATGAATTGGGGAAGGGTTACCTATCTTTATACCGGCTCTTCTAATCATATATATATACCAGTATATATTAGATATATTTGGTGAATATACAGTACATGCGAAGGTACTGGTGAACGCCCCAGGGGCAACGAGACGTGTGCGAGCACTTGCAAGTGTTTGTGTAAGCGAGCACTTGCAAGTGTTTGTGTAAGCGAGCACTTACTTGTAAGCGTGCGTGAGGCCCTCACCTGGGAGACGGTGTTATGCAGATGTTTACCCGGCCTCGCTCTATTCGTAAGATTTACTCGAAATGAGTTAAGTGGAGTGCCTCTTGCGCCTCCACTTTACACCCCAGGTCTTGCTACCCTCAAAGACCGCCACTGAGCAACAAACCTATTATGCTTATGTCTGCAGGCATAAGAAGAGACAAAACCCGTACCCTAGACTTGCTAACAAAATCGAATGATCCTGGTTCGACACCCGCAAGCGGAGATAAAACGTTTTTACACAATCTTGGAAGCGTTTCGCTGTTTGCTGTTGTTTTCCATCTTCAAAACGTAAACATTTGGCCTCCCGCGTCACCTTAAGATAGGTGAAGAGAGCCAAGAGCCTAAGCTTAAGAGCCCAAGTTGGTCGGGATCATGCGCACCACTCTTGTCTTCTCGTCACTTTCGCAAGTCACTTTCCATAAAACTTAGTCAGGGAAAAAGTGAGAGAGACTTGAGGCTGTTTAATGGGATCGAACCCACAATCTTGAACTCCCCAGGTACACACACAGTAGTTTGAAGTGAATAAATTTAGTTAGAAATTAGAGGTTCACTGTTGCTCTTCCAACTCTCCTGAATTGAGTATTTGGTTTCCCCAAGTGAAACGTGTGACTGGTCGAAGGCTCCCTCAGTGAAACGTGTGACTGGTCGAAGGCTCCCTCAGTGAAACGTGTGACTGGTCGAAGGCTCCCTCAGTGAAACGTGTGACTGGTCGAAGGCTCCCTCAGTGAAACGTGTGACTGGTCGAAGGCTCCCCCCAGTGAAACGTGTGACTGGTCGAAGGCTCCCCCCAGTGTAACGTAACTGGTCGAAGGCTCCCCCCAGTGTAACGGGACTGGTCGAAGGCTCCCCCAGTGTAACTAAGACTGTCATAGTCTTCAGCCAACTGAAGCAAGAATTTGCCAGGTTGGTAAGACTATGAAATCCTATTACATTTAATAATGGTACATATTGTTTGGTTATGCTTGATAGGATACGTTAGGTTAGGTTAGGATAGATTATCTAATGTTAGGTTAGTTAGGTTATGTAGGGTTAAGATAGGTTAAGTTAGGTTAATAGGTATTGTTATGACCCCATGTAGCTTGGGTGTAACGAGTCTGCCCCAGTGAGAGTTATTTTGCTGTCCAGACCTGATTGAGAGGTCAGAGGAAAGATGTATATATTAAATAATTGAATAGACATCAGTGAGTATTATGATATTGATAATGTGATTATCAATTAAGCTATTATTTAATAACTTAAATAATTATTATTTAACTTGGGTAAAATTCGAGCGGTATTAAATAATAACTAAGTCATGCAGAACGTCGGAATTGGCCTAGTTAGGTTAGATAAGGTAGCTAAGTTAGTTTTGGTTCAAAATTTACAAAATATTTATCATGGGTATTAAATTGAATGTATCTAAATGCATGATATGTTATTTATATATATATTTAAAACCCCATTTAATCCTTAAGTACTAAATGGGGTATTAATTTAAAACAAATTTTTAGTTAAGTTGATTTAAGTAAATTCTGAAGTGGCAGAAAAGTCGAAGTAATCACATTCTAATATTCGTTTCTCTTTATTTTTCTACATTTTCAAACAAATCGAAGAATTTCATCTTCGCCAGAAACTGATTAATATCCGGTGCTCGTGACCTCTGAGTGGATGGGTACTTTTTGGGACACGAACGGGGGGAGGTTGTGGGGGAGGGGGGATAGCTGTGGGGAGAATGGTTGACTGATTGGGGGGGGGGGAGGAGAAGAATTAGCTGTGGGTAGGGGAAGGAGGGGTGGGGGGATAGATTGGCTCTGGGGAGGGGGAGAAGCGTTGGCTGTGAAGAGGATCAGTTAAGGTATTTTAAGTGTTGGAGATGGGGGTGTCGTTCCTATTGATGGTGCTCTGTCACACACACACACACACACACACACACACAGAAGAGTTAGGGGGGGGCATGATCACCACATTCAAGATCCTCAAGGGAATCGACAGGGTTGATAAAGACAGGCTGTTTAACACAAGGGATACACGCACTAGGGGACACAGGTGGAAACTGAGTGCCCAAATGAGCCACAGAGATATTAGAAAGAACTTTTTTAGTGTCAGAGTAGTTGACAAATGGAATGCATTAGGAAGTGATGTGGTGGAGGCTGACTCCATACACAGTTTCAAGTGTAGATATGATAGAGCCCAATAGGCTCAGGAACCTGTACACCTGTTGATTGACAGTTGAGAGGCAGGACCAAAAAGTCAGAGCTCAACCCCCGCAAGCACAACTAGGTGAGTACAACTAGGCGAGTACACAAACACACACATCTAATCGCACAGTCGCTTCCAGTTTAAAGGAGATGAAAGCAGCTCCGTGAACCAATTCTGACGATTCTCGTCTTATACAATTCAACCCTAAATCCGTTCAGCTTGTATTCATATTATCCAGCTTCTATTACATCTTTTAGGTTGAAAATCAGGATGTGCTGCATATCCCCGATCCTCACATCCTTGATCTGCAGGATTTGATCCACCCTGACCTTGGGCATCACGTGAGTGGACGTAATCAATAAAATCCACCCCCTTTGATGGATATATCCATTCATCTTATATACTAGATTTAAAGGTTTCTAATATTTCATTGGCGATTTTCGTGAAGCTAAACGATACTAATGTTTATGTGTCACTTACAAAGACACAATTATTACTATTTTTTACGTAATTTGCATCATAAGTGGTTCTTGTTTGACACTATTTGAGCAAAATTGTGTTGAGGAATGTTAAGAACAAGTGCGAAACGAGTCCTGAAGGTGATGTGTTGGTGGGTTTGTGTCTAAGACTGTGCAGCCCTCAGTCTTAGATGTGGGCTGGTGGAGGAGGAACCAGGGCTGGTGGAGGTCACCAGGGCTGGTGGAAGAGGAACCAAGGCTGGTGGAAGAGGAACCAGAATATAGAGTCTGGAACAGTCTCTCTGTTCCAGCTGTACCACTACCGTGGCCTCTTACGATCGATCTTCCAGACACTTAGCTTTATCATCTTTTCCAGCCGATCTCCAGACAGGCTCTGGCGGGAACTGGAGCTGGAGTAGACGGCGCTGAAAGTGGTGGCCAAGTTGAATGGAGGGCGCTGAGAGTGGAGGCTCAAAGTGCTCTATACACACCGTCACAAGCACAGAGGAGGAGAGTGATGAAAAATTTTGCATGCTGCCGTTATTCATTTATGGATTTTTCACACCGTCAAGGTTCTGAGTGCGTGAAGGCTTAATGCAAGTGTTCACTCGTGCTCGGTCTACGCCGAGTGAAACTGTATGATACAATGCAGTTCATGAGAAATTGGCAATCCGTCCTCTGAAAACGA